ATGCATACCTTTTCCCTACAAGATGTTGTGTGCACTCCTGCTTATTTTTGATCCGAGGTGCCGTTCCCCCGCCGACGGAGACAATAAAAGTTACAGTTCGATTGTAATTATTTGCTGTGATTGCAGACTTTGCCATTATCTTTGTTTCATGTGCAAATGCGCCGGCTCTACCTGTTTGAATTTTAATACGAGACGAACAGCTGTAAATTAGGTTTGAAGAAAGAAAGGATATGGAGGTAATTAAGATGGGATTTTTTTTCTTTTACCAAAAATTCCTGAATTAAATGTCATTGTTCGCTACTAATAGCACCTGGAGAAGGGGGACGCATTCCCATCATACGTCTAGACTATGTGTGAGTGGATTTGTACAGCATGTCTTTACATTTGCCTGTCCCAAATCTGAAAATGATCCTCCGTCATCTTGACTTGTAACATCGTGAGCATCGTGTAATTTTAGAGGTGTGAGGGTCCTTTTTTTATTCCACTGGAAGCTGGAATAGATTGAATGGTAAAATAATGAGTTGAATTAGCATGATGGCTCATTCTACTGTTTTTAAAGATATGCGTAATTACATTTCGATATTATCACTCTGAAATTCAAGCTGGATGATTTATGATCTGAAGAAGAATGCTGCAGAATGTCACAGCCTCCTAATAATATCTAAGAGTTGTATCTTGATTGGGGTCAAAGTTGATTCCGCCTCCTCTCTCTCTCTCTCTCTCTCTCTCTCTCTCTCTCTCTCTCTCTCTCTCTCTCCTGCTTTACAGTGTGTGTCCTTGCATAATATTTTTATGGTGGCTAATATGCATTTTTTGGTCTGCTTTTTCCAGAGTGGCTGGTCATCCATTGGCCCAAAATGAGCGCTGCCTGCACATGTTTCTACAGGATGAGTCAGTGGATAAAAACTACACCCCGTCCAAAGTTAGACAAGCCTGAACCGGTCTGGACTCTATATACACACACACACACAAAAACATGGCCCACAAGCAATAAGAAAGGTTTGAATCATTCTTAACAGCAACAGAATCTTAGCATGAACCATAGGGTGTCCAAAATAATTGAAAATGTTCTCTAGCGTTAGTTGTGTCCCTTCACTTCTCCAAAAGTACTTTTTTTTATTTTATTTCTGCTTATAGATTGTTTCAGTCTTTTTGTTCTGATTTATAAATCCATAATGTTAATATTACCACTTTAAGTCAGATCAAATACGTTCTTATGTGTAATTCATTGTGGTTAACAATTATTTATGGTAGTTTTGTCTGAGAGCGCCACTAAGATCAAACAAAACGAACCAAATAACTATATCACAATTATGCAAGCACTATTTCACACACATCGGCTTCTCTGTGTTATTGCTACTACCTACTTGTGTTGCTTTTAATGCTGAAGAACACGTACAGCAGCTCACGGTGCAGGATACACTTAATTGGGAACCTCCTTGATACGTGGTGGTTGATCGTGTGCCGTGTGCCCCACTTAGCTGCAGACAAGCCTGTTTTTACTGTGTAAATGCGGTACACAGAAACACAGAGCGTGCTGCCTACAATGCATGTTTCCAGATTTGTATACTGCTGTGCCATTGTTTTGTTTATGAGAATTTTCCAATAAAATGGATCAAACACATGCATGTATGATGTGGTTTGCAAAACTAAAGCGTCTCTGTTTGCTTCCACTGAAATATCTAAGAGACGATCCTAGCTTTAGTGGTTTAGTGGTAAGCTTTTTCTTCTTGACCATCAGGAATGTAATTCAGAGGAAATACATTTTGTTAACTGGAGGGTAAGTATTAGTATTTTATGTGCAGGAATTTCAAAATGAAAAGTGAAATTAATTATTCCCAGGTGTTGTTCACCCAGGTTGTGAAGGTCAGTTCCTCCTCAAATGCCCTTCAGAAACAGTAGAGTAGAAGAAACTTTTTTCATTGTAAGAATATTTTGGGAAAATGATTTACAGTAACTGGTCCTTCAAATAAGGGTAATTTGTTTTGTGTGGGTATTTACAATGTATTTTTACTGAAACCAGGACAAAAGTGAACACTGCACTTAATTTATACTTTTTGGAAAGCATATGTAACTATATGGTAACAACACATAGAATGTATAACTATGAATGTACGCTATTGGGGAAACAGGTGTGTTTTTGTATTGTTTCTAATTGCTGTACAAGACACTGCAATTACAGGCCTACAGTACATTCGACCTTTTGTTTTTAAGTCTAGCATTGTCTCATATTTTTTGTTTGTTACTCTGTTTCCAGCATGACGGATCGTGCCTAACTTACTTTTGACTGAATTCAAATGTTGTTGAGAGTCGGTATGTGCAACAATGCTGTATATAATGTAAAGAGAAGGGCACAGCCGCTTGGCTCACGTAACCTTGGAGTTCATTTCACGTCAGAGCAGCCCATTAAAAAGGAACTAGGATAAATTGGATTGAAAGTTGTCATCGCAATCATGTTTCTTTCTATTGTATCCTCTCTAACAAAAAATGAAGATAAAAAAAAAATGCAATTTGGGCAAAGCCCTTGATTTTTGAAAGAGTGCTTGAAACCCCGAGCCGTGCGAGGCACAGCAACTTCACTCAAGGTCCAGGGTATTGTATCGGCAATGGTTCAATATGCACTTGCGTGCAGACGTGAACCTCTCTGTCCCCGTTTATTACCCCGTTTAGGGTGCAATGGACCTTTTGCGGCTTGTAGAAGGAAGCCTTAGAAACCCAGAAAGCAAAAGGAGACATGCATTTGACAGTTGTTGAAGGACCAGGCGATCAATATTCAATATTTATTCTAATATCTTAGAACAACTTTCACAAAAATGATCACTGTACAACGAGAAATGTATTTACAGACTACAAAAGCAAATCCAAGTGCTGATCATGGTGTCTCTTTTCCAGGGTTAGTAGCTAGTCAAACAAAGGTTTAAAATGGTGACCTCTGACATGGCCATGGCATGGGCCACGGATTGAGCAGAAACAACTTTTTAAACCTCAATAAAATTACATTTTCAGAGTGGGCGCACAGAAAACTCACAATGCCGACAGATCTGTATCCAGACGATTTCGAATGCCCTGCCTGTGAACTCTAATCTTCTGTTAAGGTCACAGGGTGTGGGTGCTGCGGCCTCCCAGTCACCTCAATAAGTAATTATGTGATGCATCAAGTCAGTAATGCTCAGTCATGCTGCCTTCCTGCAGAGTTTAATTCCAACCTTTTAGCGTACGTTTCAAGTAAACCTGATTAGCTGGTTCAAGTGTTTTGATTAAAGTTGGAGCGTCTGCTAGAAGGTAAAACGGGAATGAACTTGCTCTTCAGTTCTGACTCATGGGCCTTTGGTTTTCAGCACTATGTCAAAGGGACAGCGACCTACTTCCCTGCAACATACCTCATGGTTTCTTTTTTTTTCTTCTTTTTTTGGTTTTCTTCAAAGTTCTTGTGGACAAATGAATGATACTGGTGCTGAAATCAAAACAGCATTGGTAGGATAAAGGTAGTTGGTCAGTTGGACACAGTAAAACATCCCGTTTTGAAATTAATGATTGTACATAACCTCATGGACACTCCATTCAAATATATGACTACGAACTAAGATAATTTTGTATTTAAATCTTGATAGAACAAGAACAGATTAAGCTTGTTAAATTACTTCCATGAACTTAAATAGATTAAAAGTAAATCAATTAGAAAATTACTGGTTAAACGTTCATTTTTCGTTCTAAGCAGTAAGCTCAACTTGTAGAGATTCAGTCTTTTGTTTGTTTTATAGTTTCCCTGCATAATAACATCTTGACATTGGTAGAGCTTTGTTCTCAAAACAAGTGCGTGAAGTATCACATTAGGGTATCTGGTATCATCCACAGCGTCCATGCGAATGCCAAGGTCAAAGATACATCTTGATTTCTTTTCTCTGTCTCTCAGTAGCTCATATATCACTGGATTTGTACATGTCGGAGAGCAGTCGTGTGATGGGCACGTTTCCGATGGTCTTTTTGAAGAACACCTCTTCAATGGTGGATGGACCAACTGAACGTAGAGCAGGCAAGAGCAACAGCAGTTTCCCAAAGCGACACGGCTGAGTGGGGTACCTGGAACGCAACAATTCGTTTAAAAAAAAACACACACACACAAAATGAAGTGGTCTAAATTTGCGTAATACTTATTTAATGAGCTTTTATAGATTCACCCATGTTTCAGGAAGTATTAGCTGTACCTGGTGTGGATGTAGCTGTTTAGAGTCAGCTGGGCTTCGTCCTGAAGGGCTGCAATGGCACTGGCGTTGCGAAAGCTCCTCAATTCCGAACCACTGTGTGTTGGAACTGCAAGAACGGGAAAACAGCATGTTTGTTCAGACCTACTGTTTGGCCAGTAGAGAAAGTTTCTGTAATTATTAATAATAACTATTTCGCTTTAATATGTTGTATTTTATTTGATCGAACCCCACCTGCTTTAAAAGTGACGATGCACTTGAGGCACGCGAACTCCGTAGCGTCCAGTCTTAACTGTCTGAAGCGCGTCACGACCTCCTGCAGCGCCTGGATCTCTGCGATGATTTTGTTTAGCCTCTGGGAATCTGTGTTCTCGGTGTTCATTCCTAATTCGCGAGAAAACACAAAACATTTGACTTGTATGGATATAACATTCGAAGTTATCATATTTTTACAAAACGTGGCGTCAAATACGTCAATCTTAGGAGTGGGTTACTTGTTGTATGGCCTAGGCTACCTGAAACAGCTAGGAGAGTGCTGGAGTCCACTGGAATGGCCCACTGCGCTATGCCCAACACGAACAGTTCCCTCCAAGCGTCTTCTAAAAGGATCAACTGCAAAAAAAAAAAAAAAAAAGTAATTTCATTAATGACTATAAATAAAACATCTTTGCGTTTGCGTTTTTCATACTTGACATGTATAGCATATTTAGCCTAATCTGTGTAAAATTAAACCTTATAATAATAATAATAACTTGTTTACCTGGTCCGGTAGAGGGAGTGTGGAGAAGGCCGGAACGCTCTTGGCCCATTTAATGCTCATGAAGAGCAGGCGCGCTGCTGATTCGCACACAGACTCGGTCGCCACTTCATACAGGTACATGGGATTGCCGCTAACTTCATGAGGATACTGGAAAGTGATTACATTATCATAGAAAATAAGCGGGCTAATTCAGCGTATGTTTTAGTGAAGTTCATATAAATAGACAATTCGTTCATTTAAACTACACTGTTATGAAGGAACATGTTTACCTTCGGTGTGGGTTGGGCGAGTCCCACAATGGCCTGTCGTTCCGGTGTGCTTGTGACCGTGTTTAACTCCAGATTGTGAGGCTCCAGCTGCGTGACTGTAGTGAGAAACGGCGGCCCCGGGATAGCCGTGGATGGAAAATGGGTCGACGAACCGTTCACCTCTTTATGCCCTCGGAAATACAGTGCCACCTGCTTTCGAATGGTTGAAGTCCTCGGTCCTCTCTCGTGCTGCACGGCTGTAATGATTTAAGAAACAGTGACATGAGAAATAAGCGTTCTCATATGATACAAAGCAGAAATCGTTTAAAAATTAGTTTAGAAACGTGTCAAATATTTTATTTGTTCTTGTTGGATTCATACATTTTAGAAAAACGTTTATAGCATTGTCTATATAGCATAATTTAATGATTTAATTCAATTATAAATTATTTTAGGCTACTTGCATCTTGAAGACACAAAACACAAGATATTTATTTTCTACAAATATCTTGAATAAATAAGCTACTTTAATTAGGATTAGCTATTTGACCTTTTTGATAAAAAAAGTTTTAGCCTATTCAATGAAGTCTTGTGGTGCATGGGCATCTCACTCTCTCTTTCTCTTTCAAATGTTAATAATATAGGCTATATAAGTGGCTTTACGGCTTACTACTATTTAAAAAAAATGTCAAACATTTAGCCTATGCGAGTGTTACAGTCTTGTTGTTCGTAAACAACTTAAAAGCAATCTACTTTTGTAAGGTATGAATAAAGAGCTTTAATTTTCTACCTCTATCAAAGGGGGTTACATGCATTATAGAGGCTATAGACAAAATATTTTTGTTATATCTAAAAAAAAATTAAAGTATAAAAAAAACGCAAATGTAAGCCTATTTACTACTTACCATCTTTATTCATATTCACTTCTAGACACTTTTTCAAGCGACAGGCGCGGCACTGATTTCTGTGTGTCTTGTCTACTGGACAGCCGCCCTGAGGAAAAAAGGAGGAAGGAATAAGGAAATGCAGTTTCGTTTCGTTTAGCTGCAATGGCAGACAAACAGCCTCTTCTACTATATGCTCCACTGGTCTCCACTCCACAGGTATGTGGGAATGGCAGAGTAATGACGGATATTGACTCGCTCCCCCGCCGCACGGCCAATAGTCTCATTCCCGCCTACCGCTCTCCAAATCCACCCAGTCCTGCCGGTGCGTTAGATTGGATTACACCTGTTACACTAGACGGGGCAAAGGGCCCTCAAAGGCGCGGGAGGGGGCTCACTTCTGGGATAATCTTTCAATTATGAAAATCACTGGAGGTGTAATCTAGTCCTTAGACACGCTTGCTTAGATCAAATTAGCTGAAGCTGTTATGGTTCAAACACATCGCGGTAATTGATTAGTATAGCTCACCTGTGTGCCAGATTTGCAGACATAAGTTCTGTTTCTCCTTATGCTCCTCTTGAAAAATCCCGAGCAGCCATCACACGCATAAACACCGTAGTGCTTTCCAGAACTTCGGTCTCCACACACTTTACATGGAATGTCCAGAATCCGACCTAACAGAGATAGAAAATACAGAATTGATTTAAGGGGAAAAGCCACCCTATTGGAGACTTCTTTTTTTTTTATATATATATATAAAATATTGACAAATGTTTTGTAAAATTAATTATTCATAAGGTTTTGTAGATTTGTCTATAATAGTTTTTTTTATATATACTATAATAGTTATTCACTTTAACCGGACGAAATGTTTTAGGTTTAAGAAAGCCCAGTCCACACCCTGTTTTTTTTTTTTTTTTTTTGCAAAGAGTGGGAGCTGATCATCCTAATTAAGGCTTGAACCCCGAAAGGACGTCCGAACAAAAAGTTGGGGAATCTCAAATGTACTTAGTCTATTCTTTCCCCAATTTAGTATATACGTTTAGTTCAGTTTATGATTACAAGTTAGGCCGAGCTCATATTTCCACCTGGCGATAAATAGACACTATAGCGAACAAAAATCGCGATGAGGAGGTAACCATGGCAACTGTAGGCTTCTTGTGCGCTTTCGTAAGGTTCAATTTCTTGCGGTTCACCAAGAAAACAAAAGAAGGCTACTTTTATTATTAATCGCGTTATGTTAGATTTACTTAAACAACTGTGTCACGCAAAACGCATTGATTTTGTTTAAAACTACAATAAGGACCCAAAAGAAAAATTTTGCGCAAGATGTAGCCTAAAATTCCAACAGACTGCGCCTGATAATTTTCTAGAGAAATTCCTTGAAAGTCATTGTATAATTTGCACATTTGCCCTAAAAATCGTGCTCAATGTTGTGTTAAAGGACACACCTTTAATGAGTCTGTCCATAGGAATGTGTAAACCATAGGCCTACGTTGAGAGCGCATTAGTGGGAAGCGTCATATCGCAGGTCCCATAAAACAATGTTCAGTTGACGCGCACAATGGCGACATTAGGGAGAGTGTTAACTTAATGATTTCCCCATTGAGCCTCGTCTGACTGGCCTGGTCTCGACAAGCTGCCAACCCCGCTTCATAATGAAGCTCGGCAACTGCTTTCTTCGCGCCGTCTATAGGCTCGCGGATTAGGGAGTGACAGGAGAATAATACGCACCAGCGCGTTTCAGCGACTCAAATGAAGTGTATGCAAATGAACTTGGAGTAAATGAAAATTGTGATTTTTCTTGTGTGTGCAGAACACTTTTTTTTCTGTATTTAAGTCTGTCAATAGAGGTATATTTGCATGTATATGAGGGAGTCGTTTAGAGAAACGGCTATGTAATTACACTGACATATGTCCACCTGCTCATTGATTTTCCAGTGACCCGTCAAAAAGGGTAGCATGGGAATTCGGATATAGACCGGTAACGACGGAGAAGGAAAACGACTTCATGCACTCTTGACTTATAAAACAAGAAAAGGAAGAAAAAAACTATGCTGCATTTGGATGTAAAAACACATTTCTGTTCTGTGCATGCCGGATGTTCCTCATATAGGTCCTTTCAGAAATGATAATGGTGTTTTGTTACTTTTGGTGATGAAGATTTGCGTGTTTGCGTATATAGTCTTATTTTAATATTTAAGAAGTGCGAAACTTTCATGTAAAAGTTTTGACAACAATGCAGATCAATTGAATATTTAATTTCATATGCTTGTATTTTGCATGACTTAAAAAGAGAACCTCTCTTGTGATAGAGGCAACTTGTTGCTTTTGTATCGGAGTCTTTTTGAAACTTGAAAATTGCTCCACACTTACCCCCCCCCCCCCCCCACCACAAAAACGCGC